AATAAATCAACTTTCTTTGTTGGTTGGTTCGTTGATTTGTTTGTTTCTCTGTATATCTTCCAAAAGGGATGTATATATTGGTAACGCTTTTAAACTGTAATATTCATAACTTCTGCGAAAACTTTAACATATCAATCACGTTCATGACTTCTTTAGTAATGATTTCTTTAACTCCTTTGTTTGTTTGTTTACCGTTTTTCTTTTAGTGTGAATAGATTAATGCTCTGCTCTGGTATTTGCAGGCAGCAATAGCCAATATCATATCCGATATGATATACATCTATCAGATAGATGTATAAGGTAGTACTAGTAGTGGTAATAACCAACATAGGTTAACATTTTGTACACTAATGGGAGCGGTGTCTTTCGTTACGTTTGGCGCCGTTAATATTGTGAAGTTACAAGTAGGTCACGAACGCCCTGCCCATAATAGTTGTATTTTCATCATCGTTATGTGTTCGTCGTATCAATAAATACACTTCAATGGTTTACGTTCTCGTTGTGGACGTTGATTTATTCTACAAACCTGCATCATTTCAAAGATATTGGTCGAGTTCGTCAAGTTGACAGAGACCTGAGATTAATCATGTTAATATTTTGTTTCTAAGGGACATGTAATCGAGACGTCTGCTGAAGTCTCGTGAGAACAACGAAAGAGAATGAAAGTGCTCATGTTCGATATTTCAGATGTCGGTAAAGATCGGGATGATACTTTGACTCTACCTGTCCCCCCGTTTTGGACTAGCTGCTTCAAGTCCATTATTAAACCTTCCATTGTTAACTGAAAATCCAAACAATAGACCAATACACTCAAAGAAATTCGAAAATCAGAAAGGTAGACTTGTGAAATATTGAATGAAAACGGACAAATAATAAGAAAATAATAGATTTTTTAAAAGTTGTAATCACTATACGTATATTTGGTACTTCGAATTGACTGAATTGGAAATGTCACTGTGACGCAGTGTAGGGCAACTTTCTCATCTGTTTCAATACACAAGAGGATTAAAGTGCAATTTCTTTCTTCAAAATACATGAATAACGAGGATCTTTTCTTTTCAGAGGACCTTTAACAATGTGACATCCATAATATATTTGAGTAGAGCCCCTAGAGAGAGAGGGCACAAGGAGAAAACAAAAATGAATAATATTTTTGTACACTGACAAACTGGGAAGTTATCCACGGCTATGTTACAACTCACTGACCGAATTGCCAATTTCAGATTCGCTAAGAATTAGTAATCACATATTTAAAACATTATTAACTTTCTATTGTTTGTCCGATTTATTTCAAACTTACGCCCTTTTGTTTCTCTTATTTTCCCGAGTTCATACAAATGAACTTATTACAAAGATGATGATGTAATCTAAAAATACGTTATTTACACCAGCAATTGAAAAGTTGGAAAGACTAAAGAATGAAGTTATGTAAGATATACAATTACATTTATATACCTGTAATTATGGACATGTACGAAGGTGGATGTGCGCGTTAGTGCGGGTGTGACAAATTAATTCTATTTTACGATCATGACGTTCCTAATGGTTCGGTTAACGTTTAATGGATTAACATAACCAAATTTTTTTTCATTCAATAAGAACAGTATAGACGATTTATTTTGTTTATACAAAATAACAAACATAAAGTTTAAGGTTTTTGACACGGTAGACAACTTTTAATCCAATCATATATAACTTATCTTCACGTGTATACTCAAGAATCACTGGGGAGGCAAAATCTAAAGAAGCCAAGGTCTATAAATACCAATCAAATGCCTCGTGAAACAATACGAACAACATGCGACCATACAATATCATACAGTTAATTAGTATGGATTTTCTATCATTCAAACATATTTGTCTCTGTGTGAGGGAGCGTGTTGGTGCGTGTGTGTGAGAGGCTGCGGCGTGCGTGTATGTGGGTGAAAAGACTATTGTACGGAGAAAAATCTATGAGGTGGAAGCTATACTTTGATTTCTGCTTCAAGATGATAGGGGGCAGGCGCGTACACAGGGGGGGTGTTTGGGGGGTTAAACCCCCCCCCCTTTGGTAATTTTGTGTGTGTAAACCCCCCCTAAATTTCTCTAAAACCCCCCCCCCCCCCCTTTGGATTTTTTTTTTTTTTTTTTTTTTTTTTTATATTTAAAAAAAATAAATTCCCATGGTTGACCTAAAAAGCTGACCTTACCCCCCCCCCCCCTAACGGAACAAAATGTCAAATTTTCAAATTTCGAGACCAAAAAAAAAAAAAAAGTGTCCCCTTACCCCCCCCCCCCCCCCCCCCCCCCCCCCCCCCTTATTCAGCGGTCGACTGAGTCGTTGCGATTTTTTGGGACCCCCCCTCAAAAAAAAATGACCTCTTCCCCCCCCCCCCCCCCCCCGCTTATTCAGCGGCTGGCTGAGTCGTTGCGAAATTTTCGGTTAAACCCCCCCCCCCCCCCCCCTTGAAAAAATCCTGCGTACGCGCCTGGTAGGGGGTAGATTTATTTTTTTTTGTGTAACTATGATTCCAAGTTATTCAGTTTCAAAGTACCTAAGTTCTATTTAGTAATGATCAAAGCATATGGGAAGAGTTAGAAGGTTGTAGGAATTTTGACTTAAAAATCAATCCAATTATTTTTAACAATAAAGATTTCTTATTGAAAAACAAATTGATTTTTGATGAGGAGTTGTGTACACGCAATATCATTTTAATTCAAGATATTTTTGCTGAAAATGGCATGCGGGCAATATCTCATTTTCAAAATTTGGGGTTAAAAGGAAACAAAATTGTTGATGTATGGAATACATTTATTTTCTGAATCAGAGAAAGATCTCCAGAGACTCCTGAATGTAGTTGTAAAAGAAAGTGAGAGAATGGGACTAGAGATCAACTATACCAAGACAAAGTGCCTGGTGGTCTCTAAGAAGAGCAGTCCAAAATGTAACTTGAAACTGAAAGAACAGATTATTAAACAAGTCTCCTCATTTAACTACCTCGACAGCATGATCACCGAGGATGCCAGATGTGAGACAGAGATCAAGAGAAGGATAGTTCTCGCGAAATCTGCATTTTCAAAGCTAGGCAAAATTCTGACAAATCGAACAATGAGTATGAAGACCACAATAAGAGTATTGAATTGTTACATATACCCAGTAATTATGTATGGTAGTGAAACGTGGACTTTAGCCTCTGATACTAAAAAGCGTTTGGAAAGTTGCGAAATGTGGTTTTTAGAAGAATGATGAAAATCCCCTGGACTGACAGAGTTAGTAATGAGTAAGATCTTACACGAGCTGGAGTGCAAAGGAAAATGATACGTGAGATGTTGATTAGGCAGTTGAAGTTCATGGGTCACATTACACGTAAAGAAGGCCTAGAGAATCTTGCCTTGACAGGGAAAATTGTGGGAAGAAGGGGTAGGGGAAGAAGGAGGATTCTTTGGATGGACAGTCTGCAGAAATTGTTGGAAGAAAGAGGAGTGAAAAAACTGGGAGTGGTACTAATACAGAAGGCTAGGAACCGAGGGTTGTGGAACAGCATGATCGCCAAAGTCAATCGATATGGCACTTAGAGAGAGAGAGTATGGAATATTGGGGAAGCTATTTTGAGAAGCGGAAAAAAGGATAACTGGAGTTTAGTTGATGTAAAAGAGTATGATATTTTAATGCAGTTTAACAGTACTGTGAAGCTTTTCAGAGATGTATTATCGAGGAAGGTTTATGAATATTTTATAGAGAAGTTACAAAATTTATTTGTCTTGAAGATTCATGATGGACGGGAATTTTCAGATTTTTTTTTCAAATAAGGTATGTAGGGAGATATTTAGTAGGCCTAGGAAAGTTACTCTTGTTACGGACTAAGAGAAATTCGGTATAAACTGCTTCATGGAGCAATATATACTAGAGAACATTTATTCAGATTCGGCTTTGTTGTAGATAACTTGTGCTCATTTTGTAAGCAAAAGATAGAAAATATTTACACTTGTTTTGGGAGTGTGTACATGTTCAAATATTATGGCAAAAGCTAATTTTGTGCTAAAGGAATTAAGGTCTATCGACTGGATAGATATTCATTTAGGGTTGCCGGTAACTCCCCACGATTAAAATGTTTAATACAATTATTTTTGCATTGAAATATTGGATATATAGATGCAGGGGAAAGTCCGTAATATTGTCTTTGGGGGAGTTTCAAAAACAACCGTTAGAATTTAGGGAAGAAGAAAAGAATATCGCAGGGAGGGCAGGTAAATTGGCCTTACATTTACAGAAGTGGGAACAAGTAAAGTTTTCATGAACTTTGAATACTGGACTATTGTGGCTATTGTAGCCTCGTTTAAATGATTTTGTTTTAAATGTAGATTGTTTCTGTTTGTCCGTCGCTCCAATTTGGGGATTATGAGGGGGCTAGGAACAGTGTGTGGTGGAAGTGTGGTCGGGTGATGTGTGTGTCGCATGATGGGGAGAGGGTTAGTAGTGTGTTTGGTTGGATGGGGTTATTTGTTTTATGTTACAACTGATTTCATTTTAGTTTTTTCATCAATTGTACAATTTATGTAATATAAATGTTTTGAATTCATGTCAAGGAAAAACAACTGTACTTTATTTCTAAAAATTAATTTGTATTGTTTGGAATCAATACAAAAAAAACTATTGAAAAAAAGTATATATGTGCTTGTGTATGTGCATGTGATTTGTGTGGGCTTTATGAGGGTGGGGGTGTATTATTATCTCGCGGAAAACTCTGTCACTTGACACAGGAAATCAGTACAGCGGCATTGTAGTTCAAATACGTAATTCTCAACAACAGTATAATACATTTATTTTTTTAATTCTCAAGAACAGTATATATAAACAAATCAAAGGTTTGAACGGGTAAGGATTAAACATAAAAAATAATTTACAACTGAAAATAATGTTTTGCAAAAGGTCTTGGATCAGTTGAGTCAAATTTCTCAGCTGTCATTTTCATATTGACGCTTTTATCTAACTAGGTTGAGCGGTAGGTGACATATAGCATTCAGTACTGTCCAAAGTTCAACAGATTACATGCGCAAAAGGAAACGCTATCTGACTTCGGCGCAGGTTCTGCAGCATCTTTCACGAAAGTGTGTTTGAGAGCAGCTTCCTGATTGGACGATCATCAAACACATGGTGGTGCTGAGAGTATTCCTGCAAACTGTTAACAGAAAATTAATATATTTATATTAAAATTGTACTATCCACAAACCCTTATGCACAAAACATTTAATTAATAGCAAGAGTAATAGATGGGATTTATTATTTCGCTTTTTTTTTATCACTGGAAACAAGGCGTCAAGATATGCCATCCCTGGGTCAGCGTTCTAGTAAAAATATATTTAAAAAACTGCCAAACAGTGACAGTGTGAGTTTAATGAATGCATATAGGCCCCGTTGCATAAAACTTACCATTCATGGTAACTTTGCCATCAATGGCAACTACCATGGTAACGGGACTCAACAGCCAGTCAAAATTAAGGTTTCTATGGTAGTTACCATTAATGGCAAAATTACCATCGATGGTAAGTTTTGTGCAATGGGGCAATGGTTTCAGAATTGATATGGCTTCAAACTCTGTGAATTGTTCTAAAGTTGGTGATTATTTAAGTTAGGTGGGAGCGTTTTCCAGAGTTTGGGAGCAGTAGAGGAGAAAGCTGCAACGTCAGCTAGTTTGTTGGTGAATGGTTGAATGCAGGTCACTGACGATAGTTGACGAGTGCGTCGTCATATAAAGAGAACGGTGTTTCTCCGTCTTCTCTTATTTTGCTTACATTTTGGTTATCAATGATTAGGGTAGTTGTAGTGGCAGTGGAGGTTATTTTACCTGACTGCTAAGAAAGCATAAATGCTTGCTAGTAAGCAACTAGAGCAATTAATATATGATTATAACAGTCATATGCATTGTAAATAATACCTCGAGGACAAATGCCCAAGTTACAAGACTGATGTATATGGGACCACACGAACATATGGCATAAAAATCCGTCCCGTCACAGAACATTTTGTATCTGATGTTCTCCCACACTTGCATAATACAATGATAACGCTCACAAATTATTTTCATCTCTTCCCAGAACTCAACCTTCGCTTTAAATACAAGTTTTATACTCTGCGGCATAACCATCACTTGTCTCTGACACCTTGTCTGTGTTCATGAAAGCCCCTGTCAAAATGCTTAGAATTACAAATAAAAAAGCTTTTAAGGTCAGGACCTACCGGCTGCCACGGTTGTTTTGACCACCCAAACGAAGGCTCTTGAGACTGATGTTGCAGACGAGTAGCAGTATCTGAAGCCGATGGATGCTTGTCGTTCAGGGCAGATGGGAATAAGATAAAATTTACATATGGAGAATCTGGCACAACAGGAAGTTGGTTTATTGTAGAATCCTTGCGCTCTTTTTCTATGACATCAATGTCATGGGTAGTAATGTTCAATTCGTAGTTAGGTTTATGAGGCGCTTCTTCAGGTGGTAAAGGCGGGTGCTATTAGCCGCCGATTTGTGTTTCTGGATGGCAATTTTCTTCTCCCACTCGCCGAAATTCGCCGGATAGTCACTGCTAGCGGACACGCTCGCTGATGATTGGTCTAGTGAAGATTCGTCTGCGTAGGAGCGGCTTTCAGGAGCCTCTGGCACAGCGTTGTAGAAGTCCTGTCTCCTAGGGTATTAGGGGCTTTTCGTTTGTGTGGACGAGGACGGCGTTCACGTCCTCTAACGATGCGAATTGACGTCAGACACCCGTCCTGTTCACTACCTTATAACCCTTTTCGTTTTAAGTCGACACACGTTCTCTACACGATGACGTAATGGCCCCCGCACGCGCTTATATTCAATTTCTCCTTCTTTCACTTCTTATTTTGTTCTTCGTTTATTATTCTATTATACTCTCTCTATTTTTCTTATGATATTCTTTGTTTTTCCTTCTTCCATCTTCTCTTCTATCTTTCCATTGTCTATTTTTTATCATTTTCTCTTTCTGTCTTTCCTAATGTTATTGTTGTTGTTATCATTCTATCATTTTTCTTTCTATCTTTCCTCATATTATTCTTTGTTTCTTCCTTCTATCATCTTCTCTTAAGTTATTCTTTGTTTTTATCATCCTACCACTTTCTCTTTTTGTATTTCCTTATGTTATTCTTTGTTTTTTCCTTCTTTCACTTTCTCTTCAGTCTTTCCTTATGTTATTCTTTGTTTTTTCCTTCTTTCACCTTCTCTTTCTGTCTTTCCTTATGTTATTCTTTGTTTTTTTCCTTCTTTCACCTTCTCTTTCTGTCTTTCCTTATGGTATTCTTTGTTTTTTCCTTCTTTTACTTTCTCTTTCTGTCTTTCTTTATGTTATTCTTTGTTTTTTCCCTTCTTTCACCTTCTCTTTCTGTCTTTCCTTATGTTATTCTTTGTTTTTTTTCCTTCTTTCACCTTCTCTTTCTGTCTTTCCTTATGTTATTCTTTGTTTTTTCCTTCTTTCACTTCTCCTTCTGTCTTTCCTTATGTTATTCTTTGTTTTTTTTCCTTCCTTCACTTTCTCTTTCTGTCTTTCCTTATGTTGTTCTTTGTTTTTCCCTTCTTTCACCTTCTCTTTCTGTCTTTCCTTATGTTATTCTTTTTTTTTTCCTTCTTTCACCTTCTCTTTCTGTCTTTCCTTATGTTATTCTTTGTTTTTTCCTTCTTTCACCTTCTCTTTCTGTCTTTCCTTACGTTATTCTTTGTTTTTTTCTTCTTACACTTTCTCTTCAGTCTTTCCTTATGTTATTCTTTGTTTTTTTCCTTCTTCCACCTTCTCTTTCTGTCTTTCCTTATGTTAGCCTTTGTTTTTTCCTTCTATCATATTCTCTTATGTTATTCTTTGTTTTTATCATTCTATCACTTTGTTTTCTGTCTTTCCTTATGTTATTCTTTGTTTCTTCCTTCTATCACCTTTTCTTATGTTATTCTTTGTTTTTTTAATCATTCTATCACTTTCTCTTTCTGTTTTTACTTTCTGATTTACGCTGCGATGTAGCAAGATGACGTAATTCTGACGACGGGTCACTAGTTTTCTGACGAACCTCAAATCATCGATGAACGGGTTCGCAAATGTGGCCTGACGACGCCAGACGACCCGACGCATGCGCAGATCGCGGAAATGATGTCACATATTAGACGTCGACTATGTCGACGTGACAAACGAAAACCCCCTATTGATCTAAGAAGCACGGTCTTCGGTCGCTGGGCTTTCCTGCAATATCGCAAGGTTTGATGGCGTTCGTGCAGATTACAGACCTGGTATGCCACCCACCGCCACACGAAACGGAACACTTTTGGGAAAATATATAGGAATACATAGTTCATATATATGGTATGGTATGTATAGTATGAATGTTCAGTAGGGGTAGTGGTAGATATCACAAATCCTTTTAGAAACATATCGATATTACTCCATCAAAATTAATCTTGTTGTCTTTCATTCATTCTGAAACCCTTTCATACTTGCATTTGCTAAATAACCTTATCTAACAAAATTATTCGAGCAATTTGCAGAAGACAAAACAAATCTTTCGTTTTCAAATGTTTTTCCTTGTTAATTGGTTCTCCCTGTTTTTGCAATATTCAAGAGCTGTCGACAGGTGGACTTCTTTTCTACAACCCGAAAATTCACGTTAGATCAAATTGAATGTACATTATTATTCCTCCAATATCATAACAAAAAATTATTAAGCGTATTTTGCAGTTCTGTTTCACGATCATCTTCACGCACTAACCTGCGACCATTCGCCTGTTTGCCAGTTGTCATTGGATTCACAGTGAAGGTCAACCTCACATGTTGTCTCAGTGACGGGTTTCTCCTGGCCCTGACTAAGGCAGTCGACGTCATCGAGGACAGTCTGTTCGCCGTTAGTGGAACCACGTATGCAGAAGACGCATCGCTGCCTGTGCCCCTCCTCTCCACAGCTTCCTGTGCAGTGTTGCCAAGGCCCTTCCCACGATCTGTAGCAACACGAATTAGTCAAGAACTATTTTGTGGGAACCTGGACACGCTTTTGATAACTGCAGTGCAGTTTTGAAATTTATGTCCGTTACAGAGAGCATCAGAGGATTTGGGAGTACTAACAGAAGGAATCAAGTGGTCTTCCAAAACAACATTTTGTCCATTATAAGACATTATAATCATCCATACCGTTTGGGGATTGTTGAAAATGTCATCGGCAGATAAAATATGGTGGGAACACGAAATGTTACTAACTGCAACATTATATAGGCCGAAGGGCCTCACATGGACGTAGCCTTGCCTTCGCGCTAAATGGAATGCACACTGCATCACGGATAATCCAGATTTTATTCAATAGCTGAAGAAAATGAAAGGTTTTGCTGAATTATCCAACTGGGTAAAAACAAACTCACGTGGCAGGGCACTGTTGTTCATTGCATGTCTGCTGCATATCGTCTGGTTTCATGCCTTCACAGTATCGGTCATCAACCAAGCCGGCTATCAACTCTTTGCAGATCACACTCGAACGCTGATAACCTGATTTCGCAAAAAAAAGGACAAACATATATACAAATTCAATTAAAGCATGTAACAATAATGCAGAATGATGATAATATATCATGTATCACTGAGCTGTTGTAATTCAATCGTTCAGGTAGGCCAAAACCAGCTAGCATACAACATAATAATAATAATAATAATAATGTTCAATTCTTATATAGTGCTTATTACAAAATTGTCTCTATGCGCTTAGATACGAGAGAGAGAGAGAGAGAGAGAACAACAACAACAACAACAACAACAGTATCTGCATTACTTTACAAAGAATACCTGACATGGGTGCGATCTATCAGTCGAAAAGTATATATTCGTATTTCACTTGTATCTTCAATTACTTTGCAATGAATAAGAAGTCAGCTTTTGGCCACCGCTCGTGATGAATTAACGTTATTTGTCTACCCTATGGCTTTGGCTTCCCTAAACAATAACCAGAACCAGATTTCGACCCTCAGTCGCGCGTGCTTTAATAATGACACCAATGGTCAGTCCAACATGTCATAAAACCTAAAAACGGGTGCAATAAAAAAGTGTTAGTTACTGAAATCATTGCATTTGATTGGCTGAGAGCAAATTCGTCATTGAGATTTCACATTTGTTATTTATAAGAAGTTGTATCAAACAGGGTCCAAGGCTGTACGAGGTTGGCGAGAATTCTGATAACCTTTCATCGCTTCGTTGTTTATGAATCTGCCTAACCTGTCGGTTCGGTAGCCCTATAAAGGACACCTTACCAATGCCACAGGATGCAGAACACGGGGACCAATCGGTAAAGACCCAGGAGAAGAACTGCGGCATGACAGCAGTCTGGTTCCCTTCTCGCGGAATGGTATACTTGTATGTTATGCAAGGGTTCTGAGCTCGTTGAAATATGAGCTGGAAAAGGGGAGAGTGAAAATATTATCACATATTTTCTGGTACGACGTACATGTTGTGTTCAATGTAACACTGGGTAAATATTATTGAAATCAATACCTGACAAAGCAAACTATAAAACAGTTGATCAGCACATCTACCACATTAAATCAAGCAAGCATAAATATTTTTTTTAATACACTGCAACCATTTTTACCGACAGAGATATTTCTTTTCAACCTGTCAGGCGGGTACATATATTACTGATGAGGAATGTCAAATCCATTGAAAATGTTTCTTGAAGCCTTTTTCTTTTTTGTCTTGTGAATGCACATTTCAAAACTACTTAACAAATTTCAAAAAGTGAGAGTTTGTTTGTCTTGTTTAGTATTGCTTTTATCCGTGCTTGTAAATAATCAGAAAACCTCTTCCGTTTATCATGAAACGCCATCCCATTATAATATTCCAGAGAAGTCTCTTTTTACATAGATGTGCAGTGGTTCGCTGATGGGACCAAGGATCTCCACTCGTTCTTTATTGTCTATCCTCTCGTAGCTGATAATGGTCCCTGCTGCCTGATACTATCCGCTCCAATCAATATACCAATCCATGTTTAGCAGGTCATGTCCTGAAGCATTGCTGATGGCCAGGTAGTTTTGGGAAGAGACCAATTCATCCAACACGATGCACCGGCAGGGATGACGGTGATTTCCACATAACCTACAATAATATAAACTACAATTATAATTTGGGTCTTATTTACCCAGGGTAGCAACATCATTATTAATACTGCTCTTCATGTGGGACCCTGCAATTCCTATTACCCCAGCACTGCCAGGTACCTGTTTACACCTGGGTAGAGAGTGGCAAAAGTGGATAAATGTCTTGCCAATTTACGTTGGTGCCTGTATGTGATTCGAACCCTTAACCCTTGCATTGAGGGTTAATATAATTTGTTTGGTGATTTTTTTTTTTTTTTTTTTTTTGGTGATGAAATTATTGCTTGGATAAAATGAATTAAAGTCTTCTCCTAATAAAATGGCTGTTCTCAATTCTCAAGCATTTTGTTTGTGTACAATAAGGTCCCACTCACCAAAACCCGATGGCAACTACATTCGAGAAAAAAATCAAATCAAGGGGTAAATTCAATGACCTATTGTATATTTCATAGCAATCATGTTCAGATTACATATTACGTCTTTGCAATGTAGTTGACGTACAAGGCCAGCGAAACTGTCTAAGGTTTATTTTTCATAAGAAGTTGCTATCGCGTTGTTGAATTAAAATGTAGGTAATCATACATTGTATGCAATATAACAAAAAGGAGACATAGATGTATGAATCGTTCCATTTGAATAATTTGGTTAGATATAGCGAATCGTACAAACCTCGTCCATACTTCGTGTTGAAACTATCCTGAATTGTAAGGCAGGATGACCCATCCCCGCGGCATACACCGCATCGGTCCTCCACCTCCCCTGAGCTGACAACATTATCACAACCAACCATCTGGGGGGAAAAGGGTATTTTTAAAAGGTACCAATCACTAAAAAATATGTTTGTTCTTCAGTATGATTGGGGTTCCGTATGGCTATGCTATATTCAAAATATGGGCTTCATATAATACTTAAATACAGAGATACTGCAAATTTAAATATATTCTCCATTAACATAAAATGAAATTATTGTAAAAGTAGTTTTCATGTATTAGGACGGGGAAAAGTGCCTTTGATGCACCCCCCCCCCTTTCTATATCTCCTGTTCGATGTATTCCATTTATTATTCATAATTCCGAAAATAAACAAGGGTTCATTATTCCGAAGGTTCATTTTTCCGAATATTAAATTTGGTTCATAATTTCGAAGGTAAGTATTTCCGAAAAACGATAGAGGGTTTCGGTATTATGAACCCTATCTCGTTTGTTTGTGTTTTTTTTTTTTGGGGGGGGGGATATGAACCTTTGAATTAATGAACTTTCGGAACTATGAACCTTCGAAAAAAAGGAACTCATACCTGACATATACCGTCAATGCAGATATCACGTGAGAAGCAAGTACAAGGAGTTCCATTGGTCACGTGAACTGACTTCTTCTTTATCAATGCTTGATCACGACGTCTGCAAAACAATTCACAAGGTTTATCTACCAAAAATATAATGAGAAAAAGATTGTTTATCATTTATATTAGCCTATAAGAAAAGAATGAAAAGACAAAGGAAAATACAGAAAGAAACACTGTCAGAAATGGAAGAAAAGGGCGAAAGTAAAATTACATATTTTCATACATTCCGTGTAGAAGATACTTCTACTACATTTTAAGGAGGAATTCTCCACACTTGTTTCATGATTCAAGCCACTCGGTCACATCACCTCCCTCCCCCCCCCCCCCCCCCCTCAAAAAAAAATCAATATCTATATTTCCCAAGAAAAGTCCCCACTTATTACACCTTTGTCTAACAGTGGAAATGTAGATTAACCCTGGCCAAGGGACATTGTGCTGATGTTCAGGGGCCATTGTGAGTGAAAGGAATTTGAGGTGAAATTTTGGCCATGGGCCACTCAGTTTTATAGCCAGTTGACTTGTGGTATTAGACACAGTTAGTAGGCGCCAAGCTTCTTTGAAGGAAGAGTGAATGGGCTGGTTGCATCAAAATTTCCCAACCGAATTTTAGTCTCAAACCATCCCTGGGGGGGGGGGGGGAGATTCGAACCATCAACTTTGAAGTGAATGAACCACTACGCCACGCACCTTTGACATCGACTGGAATCCATGCGAGTTGGGTACCATTCGATTGGATTGTATCATAGGTGCTGCACTGCATGGCACGAACACAGATTCATGAACGCAATCCTAAAAAAATAAAAGCAACAATGACTTATATTTCACGGAATCAAAGCCACATACATGTTTTACTTTGAAAGTCGAGATAAGGATGAAACAATTTGGTGTCTATTATACACTGTTGCTCATAACGGTGGAATATTTTTTTTTATCCCAATTTATGGAATTATTTTAAAAATAATCTTAAAATACTAGATCTAGATAATAGTATACAGTCTCAGATTTTATTGAATAATAATTTGCCAATATGTGTTTTGCGTGACTGCTAAAGCATGTATATTATGCTACTATGTTTATCAACTAGGGGACCTATGCCCTTAAGTCATAAATGACAGTAATGAGGATTAATGCCTCACAAAAGGGCTCTGATATAGCACATCGACACGGTGTTGATCCTGGGGCCTCACAGTTACGAGGCCATTGCTTTGTCACACTGAACCATGACTGTACGCAGCGGGGGCTAGGGTAGGGGGCAGTTTCCATAAATTTAAAAAAAAACAGAAAATGCAATAAATATTCAATAATTTATTGCATTCTACCCCGGTCCCCAACATAAAAAAATCCTCTGGACGGCCATTTATTATGGCTCAAGGCATGGGCACACAGAAGATTTTTTTATGTTGGGGACCGGGTAGAATGCAATAAATTATTGAAAATTTATTGCATTTTCTGTTTTTTTTTTAATTTATGGAAACTGCCCCCTACCATAGCCCCCGCTGCGTACAGTCATGGTTCAGTGACAAAGCAATGGCCTCGTAACTGTGAGGCCCCAGGATCAACACCGTGTCGATGTGCTATATTAGTGCCCTTTTGTGAGGCATTAATCCTCATTACTGTCATTTATGACTTAAGGGCATAGGTCCCCTAGTTAATAAACATAGTAGCATAATATACATGCTTTAGCAGTCACGCAAAACACATATTGGCAAATTATTATTCAATAAAATCTGAGACTGTATACTATTATCTAGATCTAGTATTTTAAAATTATTTTTAAAATAATTCCATAAATTGGGATAAAAAAAAATATTCCACCGTTATGAGCAACAGTGTATTTGTAATAATTATATAAAGAGGCGAGCGACAACTGGTGAAGGCACCGTTGTACCCGTACCGGCAAATCCATGATTTCGATGAGTGTTTTTTATTTGTAAGTGACATTGAATACACAAAACATATGTATAATTACAACAAGAAATAGAAAACGAACATTAGCAACCAGGGGTCCTATTAATTGTTATTCCTCCTATACGAAATGTTCATGTCACAACTATGAGACATCTGAGAGGTGCTCCATCCCATTGGTTCTACCACTCATACATATCTAAACTATAACATAAATATTTTCCATCTGTATCATAATAGTGTAAGTCAAAGCTATAGTGTGTCCCGTACGTCACAGACCAGATGATATAAGATGTTAGAACATATGATCATTGTCGTAATAGCAATACTAGAGCTTTAATCAGACCAGATACATTTGAAGTCAGTATAATTATGTTCAGAACTTTATAGCACTTGGTGACGTACAGGGCAACAAATGACCAAAGCCTTGTACTTGCCCTTCTCTGCACCGATTGATTACATTACTGCCTGAATGAATGAACGTCTTATCTAGGACCAAGGTACATAAATCGATGTTTCTGAACCCTATATTTTGTCATGCTTCCATCTATAGTTGTTTTTCAAAATTAGTCGATTTAAGTTAATAGTATACGTACCTGAAGCTTACACATGGTATACTTCTTTCTCTCACCAACACAGTATCTTCCTCCATGAGATGGACTACAGGAGCAATGGTAAAAAAAAAAAAAAAAAAAAATTTCTCTGAGTTGGTATTCGTAAAACTTTATCCGGAATGATTCGACTGGGGACTCGCTAGCTGTCGCCGCAGTTGTGTTTAATAGTGAAGGAACACCGATCCGCAGGAATATGACATGGTCATTATCCTCCAGCGCCCCAGACGAAACGTTTGGTCAAAACGCTCATGGAAGCTGTTTTTAGTTTGCAGTTCAGTTTTTCTGCAGCACGAAAATTGCTGCACGAAGTATAGTAAGCCCATGTTACGATCTAAGCTACGACCACTGATCAGATTACGACCATAACTCAGCGATATCTAAAATTGTGTATATCCATCATGATCTTTAGCATTTTGCACATAGAACGTTTGTACATCAATCATTCTAAGATTGGAGCTCTGTCAAGTGCACATGCATTTCGACCTATTTTACTCCATTGTGATATTTCTTTGTAAACTATATACTGTACTACAACGTCGTTAAAGGGACTTGGTAACATTGTTGAGATGAGAGAAAATGGTGCTAAGCTATCGACTTCAATGCTAAATGTGCAATTAAAGATTATCTGAAAGTTTGAGTGAAAACGGACAATATAGTGATAAAAATTGGGAAAAACATATATGATCGATTCCTTAATGTTCCCTACTACATTATTACATTTTAGTTACATTTTATGTGAATGTAAATCGCCACAAAGCAATGAATTGGCTCTATAAACCATTCCAGACATTTTCCTATCTTATGTCTTATTTTCATGGAAAAACGGTGGGGAATTTACTGTTATAAGTTGTCGCACAGTGACACCTTCAAAGAAAACCATAAATATCTTTGCGGTTTGAGAAATTTTTCAGAATTTGTTGCATGTTAGAGGGTTAGTACAGTAGGAGGAATATATATAATAACATTTCATACAAAAATTACGCAATTTTTTCATCAACCTTCAGCTTTAAAGAAAATGTAGATGGTGATCGGAAAAGTCGGAGAATACCTTGGGTTGTTACAATGTCTCTCTTTAGACTTGACGGCCCGTCCACACGTCAGGGAACACTCAAAGTACTCGCTCCATGGACCCCATCCGCCATCGATGACCACGGGATGTTCATCGATATCGATACACTATCCAGATATACACCACTGAACACAATAAAGAAGAGATATCTTTAAGAACAATAATACATAATGTCATTGGCTCTGACAGGATCTAGGCCATTGCATTAATGACTTTGAAGAAAGTAATTCAGTCATATTCTTTTTATATAAATATTTGTTTATGTCTATCTTTGTAAATGGAATGTTTTAAGGCCGTGAATAAAACAAGCCAAACCAAGCATTTTTAACTATGACGGCAGGTCGAGGTAGGGATTTCAGGATCAAATCGGTCGAGACTGTTTGTGAATGTGACATGTACTCGAGTGTTCAATAACGGATTTTTAAAATCATATTGTTCTCACAATCTTTATCAATTTTGGGGGACGACCCTATATCTACTGACCTCACCTTTGTTTTATAAATTTGCATTAGTTATTGCAAGATCTAGCATAGCATTATGAATCCAAAGCATAATGAAGCATTCATGCGGGGACGGACTGGAATTGAAATTCGGTTGGGGAATTCCGTTGTAATGCCTAGGTCACATATAAACCGGGCCCCGTACGATTTTCCCTACCCTGCGGCATGCCGTGGATTTAGAGACCGTACGGGAACCTTCCGATTTTCTTTTCTACGGCATGTGTGGTCACATATTCTGCGGCGCCCGGGAGGTGCCCGGTGAAAATTGGTCGAGTGAAATGCAAGGCGCCCGTAAGGATGCCGGCCGGTAAGCTTACGTGCTCCGTCCGATGAGCAGGTGCACCCGTGGCTCCCGGAAGGTGCCCTGCCGGGACCCGGCCGGGGTCCTCAAGGTGCCCTGCCGGGAACCGGCCGGGGTCATTAAGGCGCCCGGCCGGGTCCCGTGCGGTGCACTGAACTATGTGTCCTCTGAAATCCGCACCTCAAGGTTCCCGTTAAGATTTTTCATGAGAATTGACCCCCAAAATCATGAGGGGCCCGTCCGGACACCGTCCGGAGCCCGCCGGGACCCGTAAGGTGCCCTGCGGGCCCTTCACGGGCTCTCTACGACCTAACGGTCGGATAAAAACGCCGGGAGAATTGGGAGCAGCCGACTCAGCACCACGGCGCCCGTACGGCTTCAAAAACTGTCCCGGCGCCCGTAGGATCTTTACGGTAGCCGGCCGGACACCGGCCGAAAATTCCCAAAATGTCTGTTTTTACTCGCCGTACGGGCCCCGGAGTGTATATGTGAAAGCCCCATAACCAGGCCAACTCAACCTATAACCGGCCCTCAGAACACTTATTAACGGGGCCTCAAGCCGAAATATCTGACAGCCCGTGGATAAACTGTTCTAAGCTCCCCATGGCTTAGACATTTCTGGAGGCCCCTATTAAATGTCTAGCTAGGGGTTCTAGGGCACCTACCCCCTGGACATCCATCCCCCCAGATAACCACCCCCAGTCAACTATCCTCTAGGACAACCACCCTCTAGGATGAATATCCCCGGGACAACTACCCCCAGACAACTACCCCTAGGACAATGCCCCCGGACAACTACCCCCTACAACAACTTCCTCCGGACAACTTCCCTCTGGACAACTCCCCCTACGACAACTAGCCCCTACGACAACCTTCCTTTGTGACTTCTGGCCTTATTGTGTGAGATTACACCACTAGATGTTTGAAGGTGACCCTTTATCTTTTTTTAACGGTACCAACCTTGTCTTTCCCACACCGAGAGCCCTGTGCAGCTGCTGTCATGCGTGATCTCCTCATGACTCCTACGCTACACCACAGGGTAGTACAGAGATCAGACTGGACTCAAGCGGAGTGGAGTGATGGAGTATAAGCAATTAGAGTTTATAGAAAGAGATGAAAAATGAAAGTTGGAAAACAAAGAGGGAAAGTTAAAAGATAGATACAGATAGAAAAAAGAAAGGAATGAAGTGAGGAGAGAATTAGTGAAGAAGGAAAAGAAAGATTTCAAATAAAAGGAGGGACATGATTTAAAGTAGAAATCAACGCTTAAGATTGTTGGGTTATTAAATCAATGGAAAATGCTGTAGTCATGCTCATGAACTCAATTTTAAACATTATCCAATACATTGGAATTTCTCGCTAAAATACTTGACAAAAAGCTAAAGATTTATTTTTATAATCCCTGCCCAATTTTTTCAAATATTCCAAAACCGATCGACTTCTTGATTATTTGTCTGCCTCGCTCCTCTTATTTATCCATCACAGAGTGGTAGTTGAAATTTGTCCTTTTCTTTGTGATGTGTGTAAGATAATCGCAAAGATTCTTACTTCAAACATGGGACTGGCAGTTGCATTTGGTCCATACTGTAGACAGCATTGGTGGTCTGCCGAGTATATGACACCCGGTAGAACCTTCGGATAGTCGTAAGGTGTTGATGAAGGCATATCCTCCAGGCAGCTACCCCGCCACTACTGCAGAAATCATAAGTGTACGTGCAAATAATATTGAATTTTCACGACATGATTCAGAACAAATTCCAATCACTAATTAACTATCATCTTTTTGTAAGAAATGTGAGTAATTTGGTATTCTAGTTGCCATTGCTTTGTTTTAAATATTGGGTATTTTTAGTTGAAGCAATCTCTAAATCGTATATTCTTTTTTTTAGGGTAAAAAAAAAAAGTTCTTCAGTCAAGCCGTTCAGAGTCAGAATTTCCTTCCATCCCACCGCTGTAGCCAATGTACTCTAAATATCAAGTGATATACTCTATGCTGTCGGTAGATCATGTGGTGAATGTAAGACCACTAGAAATTCATGAGGACATCACATATGAACAGGCCTTACACTTTCATTGCTTCAACCATAATTATATTACTCTACTGCATTCTTTGGTACAGGTAAACCATGAAGTGGGTGTAAGACCACTAAAAAACCTCCAAGACATTAGGAATGGACCTATTCATATGATCATATCCGTATCCGGACACCTATCCTCTGGACACCCCCCCCCCCCTCCCGGATAACCACCCTCAGTCAACTACCCCCTAGGACGACTGCCCCCTAGGCAGGCGCGTAGCCAGAGTTTGATGTTTGGGGGGGGCACATACATGTAATCGATCGAGGTCAAAAAAAGGGGTCTACAAAATTTCAACCGATCCTGGAAATTTTAGGGGGGGCACGTGCCCCCCCCCCCCGTGCCCCCCCCCCCCCCCGTGGCTACGCGCCTGCCCCTAGGACAACTACCCCTAGGGCAACCACCCTCTAGGAAGACTACTCCCAGGGACAACTACCCCCCCCCCCCCCCCCCCGACAACTACCCCCTCAGACAACTAACCCCCTACGACAACCATCCTCTAGCACACCTACCCCCCAGACGGTAGTTGTCCGGGGGTAGTTGTCGTAGGGGTAGTTGTCCTATAGGAGTAGTCTTCCTAGGGGGTGGTTGCCCTAGGGGTAGGTGTCCTAGAACCGATCATATCATTTCATATGAATCAATCTTAAGCCCTAATGGCCTCGCAATCCCACTGCTGCCACCATTATAATTGTCTTCTTGCTGGAATGTACTCACTGGTACAGTAAACCATTTAATTTGTAAGACCACTTCGAACCCGAGAAGACATCAAAATTATGGACCGCTGTCCATTTGTGATTTGATTTGATTCAAAATATTGCAGCCAAAATGGCCCCATGATCCTACCGCTGCCACCACAATTGTACTTACTCTAGGAAACGAGTGATGTATTCTCTGCTGCAGGAAGACCATGCTGTGGGTGTAAGACCACTAGGAACCCGTGAAGACATCACATATGGGCCACTCGGATCATCGTCAAACGAGCATGGGTTATCAATGCCGTCGTGCTGCATGCCAAAGCTATATGAGGGCAAACAATAAGAAAATGTTGTGAAGTTTTGTTTTATGTTACCGTAACGACAACATATGAGGCTTCTCCCTCAAAATGTAACTATCTGCAGACTGAAATTCTGCTAAATATTAAGTTGAAAGCAAGAATAGTTAACATGCCTACATTTTTAATATTTGATTATATAGTGATTTCGTTGACAATCTGATCTTGGTTGGATCGTATAGGGTGAGATGGTTTTAAACCGAGGTGTATTTAGGGAGTGCAGAGGCGGGGGAAGTGCCCAGGGTGGTACTTAAAAGGCGCACAAAATAGATAAAGAGAGACAGAGAAAGGGAAAGAAAACCAATAGATTTTAGGGTCTTTAAAGAATATATGCACCTTCAGTCATGCCGAAATGCGTTATATTGTTTTGTTAAAGTCTCATTTGCCAACAATTTCTGAAGTTTGGTCACGTTACTCTCTCGCATGTGTTTCTTCTGGATCTTGTTATTTGGTACTCCGTAAATTGGGGTTTTAACGGGTTCAAATTTCAACAAAAATAATAACATTGCTTTAATTGATACATTTGAGCAAGGGGTTCTAATGTAGTTTGCCCCGGGAGTCATTCAGCTTGATATGACACTGATTTAAGCTTATTCTTACTTGTGTCCCATCTCGTGCGCCACGGTGAACCCAACAGCAAGGCCGTTGTCTTCGTTGATGCTACAGCTTCGCTTCCTATTACACATGCCAGACACGTGAGCCAAGCCTAACGTGAAGCAGATATCAGAACCCCGGCACAGGTCCTTCCTTCAAAGAAAATTCAATGATTATAAATGTATCATAATTGAGAAAGATGCTTAGAATTTCATGGATAGAAAGAGTATCTAATGCTACTGCCATGGCAGGAACAAGACGAAAGCTTCTGAACAATATAAGAGGTCGACAGCTGAGCCTATTGGGTCATGTTATTCGAAAGAATGGTTCGGAAAATCTTGCACTGACTGGAAGAATAAAGGGGAGGAGGAGTAGGGGTAGAAGGAGGATTCTCAGGAGAAGTAGCTTAAGGAGTGGAATTTCTGAAAGTGGAATTGATCTCGGGGAGAATAAATTACTTCATAGAATACGAGACAGAGAGTTATGGCATTCCATGGTCGACAACGTCTCAGGACATGGCACGCAAAGAAGAAGAACCTTATATCTAAATTTCATATAAAACTGAATAAAATCATTATTCGAAAATGAATACAACTTTGAAGCTGTGTGTAGTCTCTAGTTAGGCCTACTTGAGACTATTCGGACAACAATTGAATTTGTTATGTTGTATTCACGATCAGAAGAGGGTAAATAGGCAAAAGAAGATATGGTAAATGTAGGCAGGGAACTGTAAGGTGTCAGAAACATAAAGAGAATCACTCAAGAGAATCAATAAATACAGGTGTACATAATCATATTATAGAGGGAAGGAGAGAGAGAGGGAGAACAAAAAGAAGAGATGATTGGAAAGTGAGAGAAATAGTCGGATGTGTAATTTACTAATATTTGTTCTGCTTTATCCATACTTATTAACCTGAAGGGATTGATCTTACCTGTTAAGAAGTATTGCGTTGTCATGGTGATTGTGTTGCTCATCTCCTTCCGGGTTCAATGTGTCTTGCTATGCGCAGAAGCTATTCAATGTGTCGTCTGCGTTGTTAGAGATCTCCAGGTCGTCCTATAATAAAAGAAGTAATGTATATGATATTAAATGTCTAAACTAAGAACTGACTGCTGAGTTGAAGTTGAAATAGACATTTACAATAAACATGATGAACATAATAACATGAAATACAAACAAATTAAACATAATACAGCAAACGATAGAAAGTTCACAAAGGTCAACGGTAATTACATTTACTCATCAAACTGACTGACACTAGGATTCTAGATCGTCATTTAAAAAAAATCTGTCAACAAATAATAAAAAGAGGAAGAAAATGGAACAAAGATACAGGTTACGAAGAATAATGTGAATACATTGAGTGGTAATATTGCAAATCAACCCACCCACCCCCCACCTTCTCTCTCTCTCTCTCAATCTCTCTCTCTTTCTCTCTTTCTCTCTCTCTCTTAAAAAATATGATTCACCTGTTGATCTTCTAAGACGATCAGACGCACGAGGGCGATGTTCACCAAGTTCCCTATGTTCGGATCACGGTAAAACTTACCCACCTGTGTACGCAACAAAACAAAACAAAAACATTGAGCGATTTATTTTTAATCCACAAAGTTGTTGAAAGTTAGACTTACTATCAGTGTATCAGTACGCGACGAAAAAAGGAGGACGATTTCTGAAAATGTTTATACCATCGCCCATCGGCCTATCTCTTTATCTCATTTTTAAAAATTACAAAAAAGGAATGCGCATTGGATTTTTTTACATGTATCTTTCAAGGTGTTTTCACCCCTTTTATGTTTGCTCGGATCTTACATATTTTTTTTTATGTCATCACTTTCATGCATAATTCACAAACTTGAACGATGAACCGCCGTATTATCTCTGGAAGAATTATTTTGTCGATACTGTTTATTTACAAATTGTTACCAATTTATGCTTCAATATATTAGATAGCAATTTTAACAGAACTCATTAAATCAAATTGAGTGATAGCTACCAGATTCATGATGGTGAGCATATAGGTCTTGATGTCCTCGTTCTTGTGGTATTCAATCATGGACTGGTCGAGGACCACTTAGGTTTCCACAGTTCGCTCCATGCTCACTGACTTTCGTACCCGACGTCGAGCTATCTTCGAAGTAGGATCGTCATGGTGCCATGTACCTGTTCAATAAAATAGGGGAATGTCATTTGACGGGCATACTCAGGAAGCGGGAAATACTCAAAGTTCGAGGCGTTTATACTTGGCACGTACATTATACACTCGCATAAGGTGAAATGTCACAGAATTGCAGCTTCGCAATCGTAATTCCTGAGTCACACCACCGACGTAAAGCCTATCGACTTTTGGTCATTAGTAGGTAATGGGAGAGTTAGTTCGGTCTGGTGCCGGTCTGGTTTCGGTTTTGTTTATCTGATTGGGGTATAAGTTTAGCGCCCTCTGTTTTCAGCAATTAACCCGTTGTATGTGGAGCGCGTGTTAATATTGTGGTGCAGTGTAGGTAGCTATGTGCATAAGTCTTGTTTTTGCATTTTGTAACATGAATTACGTCGTAGTTTAAGCGAAATTTCAAAGTCCTTATTTTCTTCTTTTTTTGGAGATTCAATCTTCTTCTTCAGCTTCTCTCCTCTTTTTTGTTGTTGTTGTTCTTCTCCTTGTTCTTCTTCTATTTTGTTCTCCCTCTTCTCCCCTTTCCTCACCTTCATCGTATGACTCCTCCATTAAGTGTAGGAGTCTCCATCCGAGATCAACAGTAGCAAAATGCCTGGGTTTTTTTGTTCTTCCTTTCATGACTATATAGATAACAGTCACACAGGGACAAACCTATTTAGCCTGCCGATTTTGTAAGTCTCAGTAATTTAGCAAGACGAAAAAGAAATTCATTTAAAACTAGTGTAGCAGTGTATTGTTAGGGGTACTGCCCCACTCGGCGGCTGTTATCTGGCCAGTGCTCACAGGTCCAAATATTGTTGGTCTCAAGAGTGGCATTTTACATGCATATGCAAACAGTATTCTACCCTGGGTCTGTGACTACAAGACTAGTGCGGTTCTAGGACAATTACCCCCTGGGCAATCACCCCCCGGAAAATTACCCCCCGGAAAATTACCCCCCCCCCCCCCTGGAGAATTACCCCACGGAGACAATTACCACCCAAGGACAATTACCCCCCGGAGAATTACCCCCCAGAGAATTACTCCCCGAGGACAATTACCCCCCGGAAATTTACCCCCCGAGGACAACTACCCCCGAGGACAACTACCCCCGAGGACAATTACCCCCCGAGGACAACTACCCCCGAGGACAATTACCCCCGAGGACAATTACCCCCAAGGACAATTACCCCCGGGAAAAATACCCCCCGAGGACAACTACCCCCCCAAGGACAATTACCCCCCCCCCCCCCGGAAAACTACCCCCTGAGGAATTACCCCCCCCCCCCCCCCCGAGGACAATCAGGATTCAATAGCAAATGACGATTTGACACATTGAGAGATGCTGTGAAGGCTACGAGCCCATATAAACCCGTGGATGAACCCACATTCGTTCAAATACTTGCGCGTGATGTTCCTCATTACTACACATTTTTCTTTAACTATAATGTATGCAAAACCACTGTGGTTGCTGTTTTCTACGAAGGATTTCTCTTGAGCAGCGTTATTTCAAATTTTGTTAAACACAGTGCCCTCTTAAGAAATGAAAGGTTTCGCCCAATCTTAAATTCTTCACAAACTATTTATTTTGATCACTCTGGCACTCGTCAAGAGCTATGTACACACGTATGGGCACATTTGTTTCTTGATTTAGTGAACGAGCAAGAAAAAAAAGGACAAGACATTTCCAAAGTGGTAAAACATAATGTTGTAATCAACACACTAGAACAAATTTAAGGTATGCGGGCGCCTCACCGCAGAATGTACACTAATATAAAGTGATATATTCGGTCATGACCTTGATACATGAATATGAAGATATTCGGGCCTCTCGTTGCCTTGATTTATCATGTTTATAATTGTAATGAGTGTGGTAACAATGTAATGCCGAAATAAAAGATATATATTCACAAAATATTGTCAGCGAGCGAGGAAGAAAGACATTTTATTTTTGTTTACATTTTATTTTCTCATGAAAATAAATACTCTACCCGTTTCTGATATTTGTTTTTCACAAAATCAATGTTTGCCAAAAAATGTTGTAATGTATTAATGTATATATATATATATATATATATTACATTATATTTATAAACATGAAGAGAACCTTTATTTTGGAAAAGATCATGGATGAGGGCGCATTATACATACACTAGCAGGACCCGTGGAAATCCGCGGGATTCTAGAGGGGGGCGGGGGGTGTAAATAGATATATAGAGACTGCCTAAATTAAAACCACCAAGAACTTTATTTGCCATTCAGGCCATTATAAAAATATACATGTTTAGCGTCCCCGCCCGCTTCCTTTTTGGGGGCCGCCTCCTATTTTTTTTTTTTTTGAAATTTTTTTGAATTTTTTTTGATTTTTTTTTTTTTAAGAAAAAAAAACAGCGTCCCCGCCTGCTTCCTTTTTGGGGGCCGCCTCCTATTTTTTTTTTTTTTTTTTTTTTTTTTTTTTTTTTTGAAAGAAAAAAAAATGAAAAGCACTGCTAAAATGTATTTCTGATTTTAAAAAAGAAAAAAAAAAATTGTCGGCCGCCATCTTGAAAAATAGCCAGAGTGTCAGGGAAAATGTACGGAGCGGCCATTTTGAAAGAAAAAAAAAAAAAAAAAAAGGGCCTCCTCCTTCCCATTTTTCAAAAAAAAAAGGACGCTAAACATGTTTTTTTTTTAATTTGGCCTTATATAAAAATTAAAAAACGATCCAACTGTACCTGTAGTTATTCTATAAGCCACTGGAACTGCGTAGAGTTCCATAGTGTGGCGTACCGACTACGCAGAAATTAGGCTGCGTATTAATGGGAAAATAGTCCCTGCGTAGGTTATGCGTAGGCTGGCGTACAGGTTTGGTTATGGTTGCTTACTGTGTAGAAAGCTTTTACTGCTTTGACGATCTGGCGTAGGGTAGCGTACTGTTGCGTAGTCAAGTAGCGTAGTGTTGCGTAAAAAGGCGTACTTTCTGCGTCAAGTTTCTACGCCGAAACTACGCGAAAAATATTAAACATGTTGAATTGTTTTCGTTCATCTTGCGTACCTCTTTCCGTCCCTCAGCATATAGTAACGTAGGCCAGCGTAGTTGGTACGCAACACTACGCAACTCTACGTATTGACCCCACGCCAATTAGTGACCCGCAAGTGTCACAAATAAAGTATTAAAAATATGCTCATCTGACCCTAATTAAACGCCTAAACCCCCCAAGCTTTCGGGGGTTTATGGCCCCTTGAAACCCGTGGACCCCACGCCTATATTGTATATACACTCAACTCGCCGTGATCTGATCTCTCCCCCCCCCCCCCCCCCCCAACTTTGAAGAACGTAACCCCCGAGCTTTTGGGGGTTTATGGCCTCTTGAAACCCGTGGACCCCACGCCTATATTATATATTCACTCAATTCAGGACCCGCGGAAATCCGCGGGATTCTAGAGGGGGGGCGCAGGCAAAAAATTAAGTTTTTTCATTTCGGGGGCTCCATTTCAAATTTTTGGGAAATTTTCGGGGGCTACTTTTTCAACTTTCGGGGCTCTTTTTTCTGGGGCTACTTTTTCATTAATTCATAAAAGGATAGGCCTACACTTTGTTGAGATTTGTTTAGTAGGCGAAGGTTTCAGGCTTAATACTTCATAGATCTAGGTCTAATTGCCTATTTTAAAAAAAAAAACGTTTTTCTAGTTCAATATCTAAGTTTTCATGCATTGATTTGATGCAAGAACTGTAACATAATTAATAGACCCTAGATTGTGATTATTTCTGACCATGAATTTCGATAATCATTTTTCAAAGTAAAATTTTCACAAGAAAATCAGACAGTCGTTTAAAAACGTAGACATTAGTAATACTTTTACTAATTCTAAGCTCAGGTTTCGTAAATCTACTCACGAAACTATATTGAAATCGCGGCAATAATGATGCAAACCAACAGATAACAATTTCAAAGTGTCAAATGTCTTCAACTCGAGCTCAGCTCAGCTGAACTCACACACACTTCAGCGTAACTCCAGACAGCTCGAACACCGACGCCGCAGGCCTCAGACGCCTGCGGTGCGTGGTGCCGGTGTTACACTGCACTGTGTGTTCTGTATGTGTGAGGACTGAAGGCAGCTTGCGACAGAACTGTCAGTCCAATGGTTTTCTTGTGAAAACTTTCCTTTTGAAAATGATAATCAAAATGTAGTATACATTAACCGTTATAATCACAAAATAAGCTTTGATTTCATACCTCCATTCACGAAAACTATATAAAAATCGCGGCAATAATGATGGAAATAGGTCTCTAAGTTTGGACGTGGACGGGAAGCTTCGTGTGTATCTCTGTTGCTTGTGCAGCTACTACAAAGGATATCCTATAGAAAGATGCTTTACTCGGGTAATCCCGACCTGTGAGTGGATAGTCATCGGTCGTGTGTCTACGGATGTCATGTTGAATATCCATGAGGTATCTCTGTCGTCACGCATATCCTGCATTATGCATGTCGCGTCTGTTTTCGCCCTGGACGTCGACACGGAGGAGGACCTCGGTCGGAGTATAGCCAATTCCACAGAGTAGACTCTCCCGCGGACGATGGCACCGCGGGCACGGGTACCCCGAGGGGAGGGTTCAGGAGGAGATAGCCGCACCAACTTGGGTCGGCGATCTCATTAAAAAACAGGAGAATACAAAGGCTCGCCAAGACGTCGCGCCCCCCGCGGAGCCTTAGCGTATTATTATTATAGAAAAGTTTAGCTGTATGATAGCTGCCATCGGGATTATCTCTACAAGTACAAGTAAGACAAATATACGATCAGCTGATTAGAAAAGTTACAGAGGATGCATAAATAATGATATCTTGCATCCTAATTTCTTTGTTGGGCCATTTTGGGGGAGACTAGCTGTATTAACGCGTACTCATCTGCGCGCAATGTATTGTTAAATTTCTAAGAAATGTAAATTCCGTACTTTGATTTGATCCATGCGTCTTCTGGCAATTTAATTTGATTCAATACACGTGGCATATTAAGTCAAACTTCACAAAGATGGAATGGATACAGAGCGAGAGGGGTAGGTGAAAGTTCCTCCTAGGAGGATACATGTACGTCAAGCAAAAAGATTTGGCAGATTGGTACGAGGGCTTTAAATATGAGCTCCGAATATAAATATAATTATTGCAAACATGTTTAAACACAACTCCTGTGCGAAACAAATCTATTCCGTCATAAATAACTAAGAAAATGAAAGTTCATGACATTTTCTTTAAATAGCAATTTGAATAGGAGCTCGCATTATACGTCACAGTGTTGCAAATTCCCTGGGTGTGATTGTCCTAGGGGGTAATGGTGTTTCGAGGGGGGTAATTGTCCTCGGGGGGTAGTTGTCCTCGGGGGGTAGTTGTCCTCGGGTGGTAGTTGTCCTTTGGGGGTAATTGTCCTCGGGGGTAGTTGTCCTCGGGGGGTAATTGTCCTGGGGGTAGTTGTCCTCGGGGGTAATTGTCCTCGGGGGTAGTTGTCCTCGGGGGGTAATTCTCCGGGGGGTAGTTTTCCGGGGGGTAATTGTCCTTGGAGGGTAGTTTTCCGGGGGGTAATTTTCCGGGGGTGA